CAGTCATGGGAGTCTACAGTCACTGACCTTTTTTTTTAGACAATAAGAATAAATACCTTGTAAATCTCAGTTGTGTTGTTATAACGATGGCAACTCAGGGAAAGCAGTACAAATGGAAAATTTTAGCATGGAATGCTTTAAGAAGAAATGAAAAGAAATGGACTTTACAAGAAAGTCAATGGTTTGACAGAAAAGAAGACTGTATTGCGGATTTTAAGGAAAAAATGAAAAATGGTTACGACATTGCAGACAGCTGGGGATCTGAAGAATACATATTAAAACGTAGGGTTATGCCGAAAAAGTACTTTCCACAGACCTTAAGAGAATATAATTTGTAAGGTTCAAGTTGACACCAAAGGGTTTTCCAAATCCCGCCCACGGAGTGGTCATATATATATAAATGTGCAATGTAGTAGATAGACAAAACATTTTGCTTAAAGATGGCTGAACAAATGGTAATGATGGAGCTTCTTACAGGTGATTGTGGTAACGAATGCAAAGGGATGTTGAAAGAGAAATTGAAGAAAAAAATCGCAATCGTAATTCCTAGCTTTTTTGCGATTGTACTTATCATTTCTTTGTGCGTCGCTGTCAGTGTCTTACACGAGAAGAAAAAACTTACGCCTGTAGACTGTGTGTTACGCCCTACACTGGAAAAAGATGTCATTAAAACATGTTCCTACGTGGATCGGTACCCCCTCTCCAACGAAGTATATGCCATGATATGTGCCAATGACACCATACAGATTGACATACGACGATTTCAGTCCGGAAAACCGGGGAACGAAGGAATTACTTTGAGTAAAACACAGTGGCAGTACCTAAAAGCATCCGTAGATCACATGGATGGATCTATTTTAAAAGCACAAAATCATATATAAAATGTTGCAGGAATAAAATGTAGAATTGTCAAAGAAGAGGGACTATGGACAAGACGGTGAAACTTTCAGACAAAATAACGATCATCCTTATTCCCTATGAAGATCGGAAGGGGGAATGGATGACCATGGCTTTGGACAGATATCGTTTCAAAAGAAGAATAAATTATATTTCAAAAATTCTAAATCCTATACTGGAGAAACATTTAAAAAACACAGACGCCAATAAGGATCTGTAATGCCGAAAACTACAGTCAGCGTGTTCTACAGATTTCTACAGTCAAGTCTACAGAAAAGTCATATTCAAAGGGGAGTCTACAGTCACTGACGCCATGGGGGAGTCTACAGTCATGAGTCACGTGACTTAAAGCATATATAAACTTGTATCATTTTGAAAATTTTCATCAGTCTTCAGCGTATCTCAGATAGTATCTTGTGGGAAACCTTGCCATCAACAAAAATGGAGCAAAAACATCAAGACTTGATAAAGGCAAACTACTCGACATTGGTGAAGAAGATGATGGCTGTTCATGTTGCGGGGCATCTTTACACCTCAAACATAATTACCGATGAAATGAGACAACAGATAGACGCTGAGAAAACCAGCTATGACAAAAACAGGAAATTGATCAGCATCATTTTACGTCGAGGTCCGAGAGCTTTTATGGGGTTTAGAACGGCATTGATGAAAGCCAATCAAGCTGACTTATCCCGACTCCTGATGAATAAGGATGATGACACAAAGTCTGAGTACGAAAAGAAGCTGGCCATGGCAAGATCATTAGTCGTTGGTACTAAAGAAAGAAGTTCAAGAAACGCTGATCATCAACAGTCTCAAGAGCCAAGATGTAGAATAAGTTTGGACGACTTTAATGACCTATTCCTCACGGTCATGCCTTTCAAGGGGGAGATTTACGTTCACATCCGTCACCTCACAGAATCGCATGGCCGTTTCATTGCCACCAAGAAGGGGGTTACCTTTCCCTTAGCCCGTTGGTTAAAGTTTGAATCTCTTTTACCAGATATTCAAGACTACATAGACAACACTGGAAAAGAGGACGAAGAAGCACAGTGGCATGTTGGTGGTGGTGTGTTCGTGTCATTATCACCAGGCTATCCGACAGTGGACATAAGACACTTCTGGAAGCCAGACAATGTTCAAGAGCCTATACCTACAAGAAAAGGTGTTACTCTGAACAAAAACAAATTTGTCAGACTTAGAGATGTTATCGAGGAGTTACATGGATATGTTCCAGAACTAAAGGACGTTGACTTTTGCATGCTCAGTGAGTCTCATCAAAATCAACTAGGAATGTTAAGCTGTCCCGAATGTACCCCTTTTGGCTACGACCCACAAGACAACATGTCAATGGAATGTAACGCGGGGGATTTACCAGACATGGAAACCATCGAGAGTGACCTTGAACGACAATGAACACTAAAAATGATTAATGATATGAATGTAACATATGTATATACTTATGACTGCCGTCATGAGAAAAGGGCCCTTATCTTTTGACGTCACAATGCTCATAAAACGACGTCAAAGTCGCGGTATTGTAAACACGGAAGTAATTTTTGTTGACTGCATTTTGTTTTGTAAACAAGAAATAAAATTGAATTTCAAAGTGTAACAAAAATTTGAAGCTTGATGCGGACATTTTTTAAAAGGAATATGGTATTATTACAATTTAGTACGTAAATTTATTCATAATTTTGATTAAGTATTTAATTTGATGTTGATATACGGGACATTGGACATGCACATTGCTAGCTCTGGAACAGCGATTAAAACTTTGTCTATGCATGACTAAATTAAAGATGCTGCATATTTGTTTTCTGAGCAATTTACAAATGCTTAAATTTGAATTCATGTTAAGAAGTCTAAATATTAAAATGTATATTCGATATACTTGCGATATACTTGTAATTAGCGTTCTTATAAGCGCTACTTTTTTTTCCTGAAAATGTATACCATAATTTAAAACGTACAGAGTGTATTCAGCCATTTTAATTTTAATCCATAGTTAATCATACTGATCTGAGAGCCATTCGGTGTCCCGTTGATTAAAAAAGGAGGGGGGTAAGAAAAGCCAAAAAAATCTCCGAACAAAAAGACCGGTTAAAATTAAAGCTGAGAAACATAATCCCTCTTTGATTGAATAAAGATACTGGTAACATGGGAGATCCAAACCTACATCAATTAACAATAAATAAATTTTTTAACTACTAAGTATATTAACAGTATTAGAATATGCTAAGGAAAAAATACGGATGATGGGGATGCCACGAAAATTTTGCTAAAATAAATTTTGTTTCAAAAACCAATTTAGAATGATCAAATAAATACATTCAAAGGAATTGTGTTGTAGAAATACTATTGTTTCAAATTTCGGAAATTGCTCCAATGAAATGAATGGATGAAAGCCTCCTGGAACCTATATTTCAATATGTTAAGAAATTAAATACAGCTATTTTAGACTTTTCCCAAAAGCATGATACCCAATGTTTAAGAAATTAACAACATTACATTAACAGTGATATTATGAATGAGGATATTTATAAACAAAAAGGGAAAAAAAACTATAGATTAAGCAAAAACACGTACGTATTTCTGGATAATATCAGATATATGGTTACATCTCTTGAGAATATATTCACTGAAAGAGCAAAAAGTACGCGACAAATTGTTATGGGTGTATTTTCCAAAAGTTATGAAAATGTTTCAAATCTTTAAAAACTTTTATGAGCGTGAAAAATATATCACTGCCTACTGAATTCATGATATGAAATAAATAAGTCACATTTTGCGGTGAAATCTTCAACTCTGATACATGTATCAAAATACCCCGCATATCTCGACATTAATTTCTTAAAGTTCCGTTGAAAACCAGATAAGACTTTATATCACAATCCTAACATGACTCTACGGAAAGTAATTAATAAACAAACACAATTTTTTCTTCTTTTAAAGAAAATATTGGCAATTACATTCGCGCGCAAGTAGCAACGGGGGTATTGGGGTAGGGATTTATATTGAAAGTTCGGTCCCCCCCACTCCCCCATATGTAACAATATACACACTTTTTGTTGCAGTAAAGTCAAATTCGTGCACTATAGGGCAAAAGAATAATGCAGTGTATTATGTTTGATTAAGAAAAATTGATACTGAAAGAAGACTGAACCTACCCCCCCCCCTCCCCAACGCGAATTTGATTCGAGTTTCGACACCCCCTTTTTTTTGGTTGATTTTTTTAAAAGGTAAATTAATATTTTTTCTGACTAAACCCTCCCCACTCTTTTCAAACGAGTTGTGCGGGAACCGGCAAAGGCACGAGTCAAAAGTTTTTTTTTTGGTGTTTTGTTTTGTTTTGTTTTGTTTTGTTTTTTTTTTTTGGGATATGTTTGGTTTGTTCTGAAGTAATAACTAAGGAAAAATTGGTTTGCCTAAATATTTTCAGCGAAAGAGAGTCAAATTAGAGCGGTATATTATTACTTAATTAACAGCATCGCCTCATACAAAAAGCATTAACGTATGTTGGACGTAATTGTTCATTACTGGATAAGACAATCGCATCGAAATGTATCAAGTTAATAAGCCATTGTCACGGAGGAAAATGAATAAATGACCGTTCGTGGCCGTAAAAAAATTGTTTTGCTTGTCAAAGAAAATTTGGTGGTTGAAAGTGCTTAAAAAAATAAAGCCCCCCCAACTGAAATGGCTTCCTAAAGCCCTGCCGTTCTTGCATAAAAATACAGTGGACTTTCAGGTATCCGGACGCCAGATATCTGGATGCTTCAGTATCCGAACGATTTTTCATCGGAACGAACGTTTTTAACGTTATTTTGTCTTGTTTAACTGATAATTCAGATATCCGGACGCTTTACATATCCGGACAAATTGACTAGGAACCAAATCGTCCGGATAAATAAGGCTCCACTACCAGTATTCATTCAGTTTCAGTTTCAGTTTCAAATAGATTTCGACAAAATTTAAATGGAACTGTAATTTCGCAAAGAAAAGTCAAGCACCTTTTTGTTTACATATAATAAAAAGAGACAAAAACAGCACAATTCCTATCTCTTTGACTAAATTATACAATATTATGCATAAATATTTTTTTTGAGATCATAGTTAGCGGTCCTTGTTAGAAATATACAAATGTTGTGTTCAAGTGAAACAGGGTACAGGTGCCACAAAATAAAAAAAGGGGGGGTTAATGTGCAGAAATATTTGTATCCTATTTTAATTGTGATTTACTTTAAAAAAAATAAGAAGTTAAAAGGCGGTTTCAATATGAGGTATAAATTCAAAGAAAGTTTCAATTTAAGGTACTGTATATAAATAATTCATTTCTCCTTTATTTGCCTATTTACTACGTTTCTATACTCCATAACTAAGACAGGCGACGAAAATGAATTGTATAAACAAGGGAAACCTAGAGCTTTAAACATTTTTAATAAAATATTCAAAAACGTAAAAATTTTAAAATCCGCTTGCATGGAAGAAGGAAACGTATAAATTATTTTTTTCATGAATGTTTATAAAAGGAATAAACGTTTTTAAAAACAAGTTTACGTATCTGAATTTATTTCTCAATTGAATTTTTCGGTGATACATAAAAAACATTGGGTATTTTTTTTTTATCATAACAGTTAAAGGGAATAAAGTTACGTGCGTGTGTGTTGGTGAGGGAATGCTGTCTCACAAGATTTTTTTTAATATCGGGATCGATGTGCTTTTTGCGAGGGGTGTTCCTTTTTGCGCGCGGTGTCCTTTTGCATGGGGTTCTCTCTCCATATATATATAATTCTTTTAATCTTAAATGTGCTTTATATATTCTATAAATTGAATTCGATTATTTTATATAAAAAGAATAACATGAGGATTTAAACAAATATTATTTCCCTACTAATTATGTTATAAACTGTTCCTACATTCTGTCTAGACCCCCCCCCCTTTTTTACGCAATTACTAGATCTGCTCTGAAATTAGCATGAAAATAGCAATAACCTAGGAAATCCCTTTGGAATAGTTACATACTAGTCGCTTGGAAGAAAAAAATTTAATACTTTCTCATGTTTTTAATTCTGAAAACGATTGAAGTTATTCAAATAACATCTAATTTTAAGATTTTTTGAAAATTGAATTAGACGCAGGCGACGTCATAACGTTTTCAGTGAGTAACGTCAAAGTTATTTTTGGAGCGCCTCACTAAAATGCTCATAAAATACCGAAAAAGTGAGATATTTTCAAAATTTAAGTATATTTGCATTCAGAAAGAGTCCGGCTATCAAAATTTACCAAAAAGTCAATTTGTGAAAATTTGACCTTAAGGGCCCTTTTCTCGTGACGGCAGTCATATATTATTGATTGTGCATCAGTTTTTGTGTTATTATTTCATTCTAACAATATCAAAATAAACTAGTTCAAAACGTACGATGTTTTTTTTTTACAATGATATAAAAGGGAACATTCGAAGAGAAATTGTTAGTATGTTCCAATATGTCGGACTATACGGATTATTTAAGAGAGCTCTACTACACCCCCGGTAAACCGGGTGCATATGCAGGTCCTGAAAAATTATATCAGGCTGTTAAAAAGGAAGGCAAATACAAGATTGGTAGACGGAGGATAAGACAGTTTTTAAACAATGAAGATTCTTATAGCCTGTATAAACCTATTCGTAAAACATTTCCGCGTTCAAAGGTGATAGTGAACACAATTGATTCTATGTGGGATGGGGACTTGGCAGACGTTTCAAACATTGCATCCCATAATGATGGTTATAAATTCCTCTTAGTGCTTATTGACATATTTAGCCGATATTTATTTATTATCCCCTTGAAAAATAAACATCACCAAAACATTGTTGACGGTTTAAAATCAGTTTTCCAAAGAGGAAGAAAACCTAAGACCCTTAGAACAGATAAGGGTAGTGAATTCAAAAATCGTTGGGTAAAGACATTTCTGAAGAAAGAGGGAATCAACGTCATGTACACTCAAAATGAAACAAAGGCAAACTATGCCGAACGGGAAAACCGAACCTACCGATTTGTGAATGTCTTGCAAGACCTGGTGAAAAGTTACAACAATAGACCTCACAGATCATTAGGGGGGAATGCCCCAGTTAATGTAAACCAAGAAAATGCCGATGAAATAAGACTAGCGGCTTATCTGTCGACGAATAAAAAACCAAACCTGGCAAAAAATGATCTGAACAAGCCTAAGGACTCGAGCAAAACAAAAGTGCCCAAAAAAATAAAACCCTTTTTCAAATTAAAAATTGGAGATAATGTCAGAATATCACAGCTAAAACACCCTTTCCAAAGAGACTACCAGCAGAAATGGACAGAAGAGTTTTTTAAAGTGAGTGAAAGATACAAAAGAGGCCAAGTACCTGTGTACAAAGTAAAAGATTTGGCAGACGACCCTATAGAAGGTACTTTCTACGAGTCTGAGCTTCCAAAAGTCGTCAAGTCAGATGATGTTTCTTATAGAGTGGACAAAATACTTAAAAGAAGACGTCGTGGTACAACCAAGGAAGTGTATGTGAAATGGGAAGGATGGCCAAAGAAATTTAATTCATGGATTCCAGAGAGTTCTCTCGAAAAACAATAAAAGCCACCATTTTCTACAAATTGCCTTTATTCAAGATGAGCGTTCGAATGGTATTGACGTCTACGGACAGCTCTGAATATTTTGAAAACAAACCCCATTGCTTCCGAGTTCATTTAAATAAGCAGATTCACTTTGACGGATATTGGACTGTTGCCCTGACAGAATTTTCTACAGAGAGCTGGATTTCATCTAAGAAGGAATCAGAATTGTTTGTGTGTTGCGATATTTGTGAGGAAACAATTATTGGGGGAAAAGAGGCACCCCTCCTAAGACGCATATACTTGGGAAAGAAACCAGAAAATATCACTTACGCACTTCCTTATTACATTCCAGTTAAAACTGGCCAATTACAGCAGATTGCTATATATATAACGGACAGAGAAGGAAATTTAGTTTCATTTTTAAACGGACCGGTGACTGTAACACTTCATTTCAAAAAGATTCCTTACGTTTTATGATGAATAGTCAGACTTACGTCAGCGATCCCAGACTATGGGAAGCTTTCTACAAGAACATGGCGGAGAAAAAATTCAACCCGTACAAATACAAACCAAAACAAATCGGGAGAGGTGTGAGAAGTTACAAGTCTTATGTCATTCCACTGAGACCTCACTCACAGTTAGAATCTGTAGATAACAGCCCTCAGGTGACCCCTGTAGCTGCGGTGGAGGAAAGAGCTAAAGTGGAACATGCCAAGGATGTGAAAGAGGGAGCTCCATTTGTCAAAGTGAAGGGAAGTATAAAAAGGCCACGTTCGGACTCTTCTGTCATTCCTTCAAAGAAATTGAAGCCAACATCTCAAACTCCGAGGAGAAAACAGGCATCTAAACCCAAACAAAGAAAGACCACCGGAGAAAAGAAAAAGACGTCTGTTAAGAAACAGCGACGAGTACCAAGCAAGAAAACACAGTCTAAGAAAAAGAAAGAATTTAATATTGATAGCTACAGAAGTATCTTCAAGCTGTAAAAATGGCATTTTTAAGCAGTGATAATAAAGACATAGCACAACCAATGGAACTCTCCCTTTTTGCATCCCCCACAAACCAAGTAGCGGTCGAGAAAGTGTATTTTACAGAAGCAAGACCAATTTCTAGCATAGGAGTGTCTGACACACCCATCGAGATCGTGGTGTCAGGCTCAGGAGCAGAATACATTGATTTAAAAAGAAGTAAATTGTACGTAAAAGCCCGAATTCTGAAAGCAGATGGATCGCCACTGGCAGCAAACGAAGAAACTGGTGTGGTGAACTTACCTCTACAAAGCATGTTCTCCCAAATGGATGTCTACTTGAACAACAAATTGGTCTCTTTCAATACCAATAACTACCCGTGGAAGGCTTATCTCAAAACAATTTTGTTCAGCGGGAAAGACGAACTCAATTCACAAAAACAATCTGAGCTGTTCTTTAAAGACGAGGGGAATCTTGGCGACGCAAATGCATACAACGGAGGCAATGCCGGTCTGGTCCTGCGGTATGGTTACACTCTGGAAAGTAAAGTCTTTGAGCTGGAAGGAAACCTGATGGAAGATATCTTTGATATAGATAAATACTTGATTAACGGAGTAGATATCTACATCAAACTCTTTAGATCCAGTGCCCCTTTTGTCATCATGTCTGCCACTTCTGCACCTGCCTACAAGTTAGAATTACAAGACGTCGTGTATAAAGTGGCCAAAGTACGTGTTGATCCAGGTGTTTTGCTCAACCACAGTAAACAGATCGAATCCACCCCTGTGAAGTATACCATATCAAGAAATGAACTAAAAATGAATACCATACCCAAAGGATCTACCGAGTTTTACTGGGACAATATATTTCCACAGGCAGTACCCGATCGAATCGTGGTGGCTCTGGTGGACCAGAAAGCTGTGAATGGGGATTACGCAGCCAACCCCTTTAATTTCGAGAATATGGGATTAACAGATATCGGGATATACGTCAACGGAGAAAGCGTACCTGGAAGACCACTGAAGACGGACTTTACGGCAGGACATTATTCAGCCGCCTATTCTCGTTTATTTGAAGCCTCTGGGAAATGGAACAATGATGCTGGACTGATTATCTCTCGTGATAATTTTGGAAATGGATATTCACTTTTTGTGTTTACGATAGATCCTTGTGGATTTGGAGAAGAGTACTTAAACCTGATTCGTAGGGGAAACACCAGACTGGAATTGAAATTCAAACAAGCAACAACCAAAGCTGCCAATGTCATTGTATTTGCAACTTTTTCATCCCTACTTGAGGTTGATAAATCACGTGACATTAACTACATTCAACCATGAATTCAACACATCTGTTAAACATGGTGAAGACAGATCCTTGCTTAAGACGTTACGTAAAAGGTGTATTTGCTAGTAATACATTGCCTCAAAGAGTTACAGAATTTCCAAGCGCCTTTATCGTCAATACACAACCTTTACCATTACCCGGAGAACACTGGGTGACAATCATTGTGTACAGTCCATTGCAAGCAGAGTTCTTCGACAGCCTTGGAAGATCCCCAGCAGATTACAGTCAAGATATACAAAATTTTGTAAAAACGAACAGTGTAAATTGTCGTTTCAAATCCGTTCGACTTCAACCTCGAAATTCCGATTTATGTGGACTTTATGTATTAGTATTTCTAATTGCAAGATTGTGTTTAAAAAACTCGTTCAATCATGTGTATGATTTATTTTCTAATGACATTCAATCTAATGACGGTTTTGTAAAAAGTTTTATGCATGAATATTTTATGTATCATTAAAAATCATGAAAAGTATATACGGGAGTTATTTTATAATTGAATAAATATTTATATGTGTGTGTGACATTGCACCTAACTTCATTTTGAAAAAGTCTGGCGACTGAGAAACATGGAAACAGAGACTACGAATAAATGGTGGAACAATCGTTCCTTGCTACCTTTTTCTGCACCTACCACCATTTTAATATGTGGTAGTACACAAAGCGGAAAAACGCATTTTACTAAAAAACTTTTACAAAACGCTAATGGTATGTTTTCCATACCTGTGGATAGAATAGTGTATGCTTATTCTGAACATCAACCTATGTTTGAGGAAATGGTGCAGACGATACCAAACTTATCATTACACCAAGGATTGCCTTCTAAAGAAGACATAGAACAGTACACCGAGGGTATGGATCACATGGTACTGGTGCTGGATGATCTCATGTTACAAGTTGCACAATCTCAGGACTGTGTACATCTGTTTACGGTGACATCTCATCATAGAAACGTGAGCACAGTGATGTTGTCCCAGAACCTATATCCTCCGGGAAAATATGCCAGGACCATTTCATTGAACTGCCTCAATATCATTTTGTTTAAGAATTACCGTGATTCTAGACAGGTCATCACCTTTGGATCTCAGATATTACCAGGACAGGTCCCCTTTTTCAAAGCGGCATACGAATCCGCAACTCGACCAAATTTCGGTTACTTGCATGTTTGTTTAGAACCAACACAAAACAGAGAGTATCAACTAAGGTCTCGTATCCTCCCGGGGGAGGAGATGATCATTTACCAACCTATATAAATAAGAATGATTTTGTCTTCTCTACTCATTATTTAAACATGAAGCAAACGGTGAAGAAACACGAGGCTTTTTTAAAATTTCTCTTGTATGCTGACAGTGCACAGCAAAAAGTACTCGTTAAAGCCTTGACCAGTGAACAGTATGATGTGCTTAGTGAAATAGCACTTAACATTTATACGGGGACTTATCCTTTACCTAAAAAGTATATAAACCAACTGAAACCTTACGAATCACACATTCGATCTCTGGGATCCAGAGAAGTCAGCAACCGAGAGAAACGTCGGATATTACTCAAACATACTTCTTTAATATCGCTTTTAATAACACCTATTGTGCAACATTTCCAAAGAAAATGGCGAGGGAAATGATACTTGTGCCGAAACTGAAATATGAACATTTACTTCAAAAATTGGACCATGCCAAGGATCACTCGACTCAAGCTATATCCGAGACCGTCCAGACCTCGAAGCAAATTCACGAAGATAGAAGCCAGAATTGCAGCGACCAAGTGGATGACAACCACCTTTTACAAACTGGCACTGGTTATGTCAGTAAGAAAAAAGTCGGAAGACCTCCTGGAATCATTAATGTTCGACGGAAAAAGAAAAAAATTCCCTGGCTTACCTATTAACAATGTTATAACAATGAACAAAAGTGTAATGTGGATCATTTATTTGTAATTGTCATTCAATAAAAAGATAACATTAAAAACTTTGTTTTTTGTTCACAATTAAAATCCAAAGGGCAACGTGTCTAAGTTGGGAAGAATTCTCCTTTTGGTGTACACCATTTTATAATTTTTAGTTTCTACTCTGTTTAGCAATTTCCTCTTTCTACTGTCTCTGGATATTTTACAAGGGTTGACAATTTCGATTTGTCGGTCGTGTGAGGTACAGATGATGGACTTGATGGCATCGAAATTGATCAGTTTTGAGTTGGCCCAGTTCAGTGTAAATCCTCTAACTTTACATTCTTCTTTCCCCGACAACGTACGATAAGCATAATTCTTGGGACCCCCCGAGACAAATTCAACAATGTAACCATCTTGTGGGGCGATCTCGTTAGTCAACTCTCCCAAGTAATTACCAATGGGTAGATAACTCAAGTCGTCCGACTTTTTAGCCTTAAAAATGACACTGTCTGTATCAAAATACAAAACATTCTCGTTTAATTTGTCAAGAACACTGTATAATTTGAGTCGAGCCCACATGGTGGTAAAAGAAGCTAAGAATATGTTGGTTTTGTTATCGAACTGAGTAAACAAAGGGTTGTTACTCCACTCTAAATGGAGTATGTCTCTTGAAACAATGTGAAAATTGTGTGGTACTTTTGTTGGATCTGAAAGCATCTGAAAAAATTTTTCGGCTTCTGCTTCGTGAATAAACATAGACTGTTGCATGCCTAACCTTTGACCAAATTTACCCCAAAAGCTATTTAAACAGAGTTTTGCTAAGCAT